GCAGTCAGTGGTTCAGTGATCTACTTTCTTTATCATAGGGTGGTTTTCCATGTCTAGCTTGTCTGCCATGTTACAACACAAGAGTGTAAATTGTGCATTATGTGCACAGGGAGTAGGCAAACCTGTATCTAGCAAAATGCATTTGAGAATCGTTACTGTGCTGTCTTTGATCTTAGCAGTTCTATTATCATAGAATCATAAAATCATAGAATAGTTTGGGTTGGAAGTGACCTTGAAAGGTCATCTAGTTCAAACCTCTTCAATGAGCAAGGACATACGCAACTAGTCAGGTTGCCAAGAAACACATCCAACCTGGCCTTGAGTATCTCCAGGGATGGTGCATCTACCACCTCTCTGGGCAATCTGTGCCCGTATTTCACCACCCTCATTGTAAAGAGTTTTTAGCTCACATCCAGCCTCTTTTAGTTTAAAACCATCACCGCTCATCCTGTTGCAACAAGCCCTGATAAAAAGTCTTTCCACATCTTTCTTAAGAACTGAAAGGCCACAATAAGGTATCCCCAGAGTCTTCTCCATGCTGAGCATCCCCAGCTCTCTCACCATTTCCTCATAGGAGAGGTACTCCATCTCTCTGATCATTTTTGTGGTCCTTCTATCCACCACCTCCATCAGATCTTTTTTCGATTCTTGATTTTTCTTTGATGTGTTTCCTTGATGGGCCACTTGGCCTCAGTTGAGATAAATAAGATATAACTTTCCAGACTAAATTGAAAGGATTCTACAGCAGGGTTCACTGTCTAACTAGATAAATGCTTGTGCAATGGCAGGACACAGTAATAGGGAACAGAATGACTTTTTTTAGAAGACTTGTGCCAACTTAAAGTAATTATAGTGCTATATTTAAAGAGCTTTAAAAGTGTTTCAGCGTAATGCTAAAAGATATCTAACTGACACTAAGTTCTGAAGAGGTCCTTGTTCATGTGTCAGTCATACTACAGAACTTTACAGCAGGTTACTTTAACAAGGATTGTAGGAAAAAATATTTCTTGTGTCAAAAGTACACACTTAATTTTTATTTTCCAGTGTCTGTAAAATATAAATGTTATCTCTCATAATAGTACTTCATATAATCCATGGTGATCTCAGTATTAAGTAAGTTTACTACACTCTTTCTGCTAATGATTCCTGCTTTGAAGCATGCTGCAGAAAGTTTGTAGCTACAGACAGGTGCTACAAAACTATTTTACCGGAACCTAGAAACTCAGAGACATGAATGCAGGTAAAACCTGTAAGTTTTTAACTGTCACAGGAAGAATGGGATTGTCACAGGTAATGACTTACTTACAAAATCTGTGGATCAGCAGTGCCCTGTACATCTAGTGTTTGGTGATGCACAGTACACCTGAATGGAAAATCATAGTGAAAATGTAATTTGAAATAGTAACGATGACCTGCCTTTTGCAGACCAGTCCAAATATGCTTCATGATTACTCACCTGTAAAAACCTCAGAAAGTTCACATCCTTATTCACTATTGTTTGGAGCTATGCTTGTTTACATCAGGTTGTGCTGTGACCTGTTTTGCATAGTAAAGTATTTGTTGGTAGCTAAAAGAATGGAAATTAAAGGTCTTAATAGAATAGAATATTCTTTGGACTTTGTAAGCCATTTGATTTCTAAAGGAGATAGACGAGCGAATGGAGCTACCTATTATTTAAAATTGGCCTTAGAGTAATTACATTGCTGATCCAGTAATGTACAGCAAATTGCAGTTTTAATCTTTCATGTTATTACCAGCATGCACAAAGTATCAGGGCACTCTAGAAATTATGATGAACTGTACCAGCTTTGGAAGCTACCATAAGGATTAAGAGTTTTAGTGTATGCTCTTACTTAATTTTCTGCTTTATTCAAGATGCTGTGTAGCAGGGGGGTGGTTATGTGTATAAAAAGCAGGGCAATGTGCAAGGTGAGGCTGCTGTGCTGCACATAATTTCATTGTTTGCCGTGGAAGTATTTAGAAATCCTGGTGACATTTTATGACTTGTATCTGTACCATTATCAAACTGTATATAGTGCCTTTTTGTTCCACTGTTTTTACTCTGTTTTCATCTTTCTATTCTTTCACATGCAGATGAATGCCTATTATTTGCACAGTTGGGTTTCTTTTTGCCTTTTTTCTTAAGGAAGTAAACGTCCAGAACCCACAGGCACTAGCACCCCTTACTGTCATGATTACCTTGGCCTGTTCCTGGAGTTGTGGCCTTTTGAGAAATTGTTGAGATATGAAAAAGAAAAGAAAAAACAAACAAAACCATCCAATACGCTTTGAGTCTGGGTCAAATCTTATCAAGACCATCTTTAGGTTGCACTTGTCCCACTGGTTTTGGTATTTTTAGCCTCTTTTTAAGTCAGTGTCACTGCAAAGTTGAAACTGATTCCCTCATTTTTATTACCTCATACACTGGTATCAGTCAATAATGAGCTATATTGATGTAAGTGAAACTGAGGTGTGTAAGAGCAGTATGGAAGGACAATTTCATCCAGTCTGTACTATACCACTGTTGTCTAAATGTGGCTTGCCCTGGCATTTCCACCTGATCCATTTGTGGGTGGCTATAGAGTCACAACAAAGACTCGAATGGCTCCTATACTGTTTCTGGACTGTCTAGTGTTAGAAACATCAGGAAAGGGATTAAGAAACAGGGCAGTTACGGAGTGATCATTTCCTTTGTGTATCTTCCCAGCTACTGACGGTTGGTCAGACTTTCTGATCTAGCAGTTTTCCTCGTAGGAGTACAGCTGTTTGGGCAGCTGTAATAGCCAGATGCACCTTGCTATGCCTGACCTGTGACATATTACCTGTGACATATTACCTGTGACAGCATTTTTCCAGGGCCTCCTTGGCCGCCGCCACGGGTGCTCCGCCAGGCATCGGAGCCTTTTGAGGTGCAGAGCGTGGAGATCCCCAGCAGAGGGCTCAACCTCCGCGGCAGTGAGCAATACCCAGCGCTGCAAGCTGTGCGCAGGCGGCTCGCTTCGAATAGCTGATTTCGGGTTTTATAAAGCACCCCTGGCTGCTATGTATTGAAATTGAATAAGACTCATTCTGAGGAGTTTCCCAAAGTGGGATGGTATTGGGTGTAGCCAGTGTTGTTATTTCTGCTGCTTGCAACTCTTCTTTAGGAAGGGTTTTACAGTTAAGTTCTTTGGTCGTTAAGCCAAAAGTATTTCAGCTTTGGAGAGTGTTTAAGCAACAGTCCTGAGATGATCAGAGTTGCAACAGAGAGCAAAGGAGAAAGAGGAAAATTTAGCTGTGTTTGCAGATTTTTGCCAGGTGGTTTCAGAAGGGGTTAGTGATATGCTCATCAAAGTCTTAGTTTGGTTTGATGTTAATGGCCTGTTTATTGTGCTTTTATCTTTACACGAAACATAGGAAGTCCAGTAGCCTGGCCTATAGCTATTGGAGAAATCACTTTCCCATGGAAAGCCACTGCCAGCTGCTAGTGTGACAAACTGTACATCTAAGTTGTTCTTGGAAGATGCTGTTTTGAGAGGTATAAAGCACTGCCTGGTTTGAACTTGAGAATAAAACAGACTCTGGCTGAATTACTCTATGTGATCAGAACCTTTTCTCCTTAAGAGGCTGAGTAGACAAGCTAAAGTTCTTCTTTCCTTAGATTCTGCCTTCACATCCATGCAATGCCAAGGCCTCTACTCTGATGGCAGATACAAATAATTCTCACTGGCCTCTATTGGAGTTGCTCTGGATTGTGCCAGTCATGCTGGATGTGGATCAGAATCAGCTATGTTCTTTATAATAGTCAAATGCCTCCACAAATACTTCTCTTTGTTAAAAATTATCATGCAAATTTGTGGCTACTTTAGGTTGACTTACTTAAGAAACATAAATCCAAGATGCAGGTATAAAGCCAAGTTGCTGCATGTCATCTGAGCCCTAGTAACTATAAAGATGTTAGCCTGCGAGCAATACACAGTACTTCAGTGAAATAGACTGTTACTATACTTGGTTTACCCACGTGATAATGAGTTAGGGTCATACAAAAGTCTTACAAACATCAACCCATAATTAGTCAATAGTCGTTTTGAGTCCATGGGCTTTTGGGAAAGCCTGCTCCATTTGTATTGATACTGTGTGTTGTACAATTGTACAAGTTTGGAGAGGGGAAGCTGTATACATCTGACCTCCCAGAATGAATTTAAGATCAAATTATAGAAAAAAATTAATATATAAAAATATTTTCATGCAGGAAGTATAATACAAATTTTCATGGAGGCTGTTTAGAATGTGATTAACTTATGAAGTCTTCCCACCAAGTTCACTAGCAATTAATTCTTCTTCACAGGTGAAAGTCAAAGTCCTAAATAATAAGGATGAATCTAAGGAAATGTTTCAGAATTCCATAATTTGAATTATCTGAATTTCGCTCTTGATTTTAGTTAACTGACTGAAACACTATCATCTACTAGGTTCCATCAGTCATCTGTTACTTCTATTCTATATCTATCATATGAACTATATGCCAAAGCACTTGATGCAGATTGTGATACATGGTGTTAAAATGGTCAAGTCAAAAGGGTATCAGTTGGATACTTGTCGTGACTTTAAATCACTTTTTTATTTGCCCTCATTTCTTGTGTTTTCTTCTTCATGGTAATTGATTGTCTACATTTCTTGTAAAACTGGCTGATTTTGCTTTCAGATTCCTTTTCAGAGCTCCTTTCCCCAGACTTTCCCCTTCTCATTCATCATCCAATTTGCAGCATTTTTAGTGCAGTCCATCAAGGGTAGGCATTTTCAAAAAGCTTTTTATTCTTCTAAGCTCTAGTGCCTAAATAAAGAGATGGTTGCTAAGAGATTTTGTAAAGCATCATTAAGAGGCTATGACTTGCTCTTTTTCCTACCTTCCATGCACAGGTTTCAAATCAGAATTTGAATTCAAATCAGCAAGTGGGATGGCAGCATCCCACAATATTCCTGTGTTGAAATTGTGACCATGAACAGAATACAAGGAGACCATGCCAAGTCCTGTGCCACCAGGAGAACAAGACACAGGTCTAACTGTATTAGGAAAAGCATATCATTTTTTCAGATTTGTGATCTGGAAGGCAAAAGCTTCATCACTTGTCAAGACATGCCAATAAAACATAACTGGCTATGTGAAATGCAGAATAAGATAAGCTCCCAATGCCTTTAATGAGTTGAGACTGATTAATTTAGAGTTAAAAATTGCAGCACCCTCCTGACATGTAGCATTTAATACACTCTCTTTGAATTTTTACATAATGCTTGCATTTGTTTCCACAGTCAAAGGAACAAAAAAGTGGAAAAGCAAAGCGAGTGAAATTAAGAAAAAATGCCTCAGGAACTTAATTCCATTCTCAATGAAAAGTTGGAATTCCATTAAATTTATTACTTTGAGATTTGCCACAGCATCATGAATGTATTCAGTCCACAAAGTTTACCCCTCTGTTTTTTCAGCAAAAGTGTGTAAAGTCTTTTGCTTTGGTTTCACCTGCCAGACAATGTACAAACCAGACTCTCAGCTTTATCAGATATAGATGTAGGAAATATAGAAGAACGGTATTTTAACATTACTCAGTGTTCACAATAATCTTACAAAATTGTTCTTAAAATGTTTGAGGCACTAAAATCAGATTCGCTGAAAATGTTGGTAGAAAAGCAACTATATAATAAAACCTTTGGAAATGGGATTCATTGCTTATAGCAGAAATTATAAGATTATTTGAACCGGTGTGTGGCAGAAAACAAGAATATGCTCCTGCTTGACATGCAAAGCATAATTTCATTGTGTTAATCCATTTCTACTTCAGTACTTCTGGATAAAATAGAGGTGTGGTAGCAAAATAAATTCCGTATCTGGCAGTGTTCAAGGCCAGGTTGCACAGGGCTTTGAGCAACCTGGTCTAGTAGAAGGTATCCCTGCCACGGCAGGGGGTTGGGACTAGATGATTTTTAAAGTACCTTCCACCCCAAACCATTCTATGATTCTATGAAAATATTTAATGTTTTATACTGGGCAACTGTACATTAGACATATATTATTCATTATGCTTGATTAGAATGACTAGTTAACTAGAATCCCTGTGTTGCAAACCTGAGTTTGAAATCAGTGTAGTTGATTTTGATTGCATTTTCCATGATGTTCATTTCCTATAGCAAAAACATAAATCAATAAAGTAGATCATTTATTTCCGTGAAAGTTACGAAGTGTTGATCACTTTTGCATCCTGCTGTTTGTTAGTTTAGTGCTACTTAATATTAATGAAGCATTGTTTCAAATCCAATATGCTCACATTAAGCTTTTTAATCTTTAGTCATGTGATATGAGGCATTTCAACAGACAGTGCTGAGTATCTAGAAACACAATTAAGTTCGGTGGAACAGATTTTGCATTGTTTTCTGCTGTGTTTCTAATATAGTAATTATATCAAAATTTACTCTTCCCTGATTGTATCATGCTATTTATTTTGATATTATGTTAATACTGGTTGTTTGGAATTTTTCATTCAATTTCAAGGTATCGAATGTGTTCAACCTTAAAACAAACAAGAGGTTTTCTGAGATTGCAAGAAAGCAAATTCTACCTGAGACTTGAAACCACATCTTTGCAGTTTGGGCCTTGAGGTTATCCTGATTAATGAGGATTAGCGTTGCAAAATGTTTTAACAATTATAGCAGAATTGGCCATTTGACCTCTATCTTTTTATTTTGCAGAGTAAAAGCTTGGAATTTTCAGATAAGTAAACACAGGCGTCATGAAAGCACACAGAGCACATTGTGTGGCAATGTAGATTATTTCTATTTAAGCTACAGTGGTATCTTTGAGTAAGTTTTATTTCTTTTTAATTTTTAAGAGATTCATACTGGAATTATTTGTGGGCTTTTACAGTAAGGCCAAAATGAGCAAATAAAAACACACGTATGAGACCAACAATATCATTTTGTTTTCCTAAAAATAAACCCCAAACAAACAAACTTAAATTTTTGAAGAATAAAAACAAGAGGTTGGGAAAATCATTGACTTAGTAACAGTGGTAAGTGTGGCCCCAGTTCACCAAACTCCTTAAATTATCCACAGGAAATTTAATGGAGCAAAATGTTTGCACATTCTTAAAAATCTCCCATTTTTGTTTTTTTTCAAGAAAATGCAAAAAATTATGGTGTTTTCTGCTGCTAAATTAGTATAATTCAGTTCAGAATTTGAACGCTGAAATAGTGTAAAAAGAGTAATTTGCCTGAAATACCTCCTGCCTCATCAGTACCTTGTGGCATGTAAGGATTTTAGAAGAGAAGCGAGTTTTTAGATCTAAGAGATAAAAATCTAAAGCTTTGGGAAGATGAGTATGTTTAAGTGAGAAACTGGTAATAAGTCAGATGCATTGCTGATGAGGTAACTTATTTAGACTGAATATACATCAAGTTTTCTTAGGGGTTTTTTGGAAGCATGTAGCAATGCACAATTAATCCTGCCCAGAAATCCCTTTGGGACTATTCCAGATAGTTCTGTACTTTAGGAGCTCTGTTGCTTTCCCTTCTCAAGATTACCTTGGAATTCCTTTTACTGCTCCTCCATTCAGCTCATACAGGTTTATAATGTATGGCCTAAACTCTTTGCTGCAGCCAGGGAAGTCCTGGTTAATGCATTCAGCCAGTTCTTACCTTGGCTACGTATGGCTTGATATACTGAATAGCGGTTTCTATTGTTCTTGGATAGCAGGATAAACTGTCTTTGGTCCTAAATCCATTCCCACAGCAGAACAGATTAACACTTTTGTTCTGATTAACTTTATCAATCTATTAGCTTGCAATTTTAATATGTTGTATATACCATAAGTGTTCAAGGAAAGTATTAAAATATTAGCTAATAAAGCAGAGGACTTCACCGGTGTGTATTTATATTGTTTCCCAAGATGAAGAAAGGTTTTACTCTTCCTAGTGCTTGACTCCCAGTGGAAGTCCTTGCTATTATAGTTGTTTGCCACTCTAGTTTCCTTATATTTCTGGAAATCTGTCTATAACTGTTACAAGAATTGTAGCAAGACTTAAAAGTAAGATTTAAAGAAAATGATGGAGGGGGTGGTTTTTATGCCTTTTTTTAGATTCTAAGGAAAAAATAAGTGATTTTGTGGTGCTGGTTGTTGCCTTTTTTGGTGTAAGAATAATGAATTTCAGATGTAGACAGTCATGAACTATGTTTAACTTGTTACAGGAGCAGCAGGTTTGCTCCTTGAACCACGCAGGTTTCTTAGCTTTTATTTATTTATTTACACGTTTTGAAGCAGCTTGAATTAGGATAGTATAACCTCTTCAATATTCTCTTTTAGAGAGTCTCTTGGTTGACCGTGTGCCTATAGAATCCCTTCCTGTTGTCTATAAGTTTTCTGTCAGCTCTTCTTCTATCCCCACACAGAGCTCCATGCACTCCAGCTGCTCTCTGGCATAAAGAACAACTCCCCTTTCTTGTCTTCTTTTCCTGTCCTTCCTGAAGAGCCTGTATCCTTCCATTGCAACATTAAGTTCATCCTACCACATCTCCATGATCAAGTCTTTTTGATATTAATAGAAATATCCAAAATAGATGGAAGAAACTGCTCTAGAATTAAAATGCATGTGAGCCAAATGGAGAGAAAGAAGTGTTAATAAAATGAAGCTTTCTATATGAAGTTTATACAAGAATTTGAGGTGTGCCTTTGGTCATGCAGTAGAAGGAATGTTAAAATAGAAAGTACATTTTATCAGTACCAGAGCTGTGATTATTTTAGATTCCTCACTTCTACTTAAGCATACCAATAAGGCCACAACCTTTATAAAGTGCTTGTTGCTGCAATTTATGTCTTGTTTATGGAGGACTGTTATTTTTCAGTATGTTTGTGAATGTTGTGTGAGTTACTGAAAGCTAGACATTAAACTGGGGAGAAAGTCAGCCATAGAACTCAGAAATCCTCTTGCTATGCTTCATCCTTTTGTTGTTTCATTAGAATTCCCTTTTTTTTGTAAACAAGTGTAGTTTTTTCTGTCACAAATTACATTTATTGTAAAATGTGATCTTTAGTATTTTGCTCTTAAATGACATTGTTTCTTATCGTAAGCTCTGAAAATGCGAATGTGTATGATTTCTAATTCTTAAGCCAGTTTCTTATGGAGTAGATTACTTTGAATAAGGAGATGATGCAGCAGTCAGAAGGTGAAACAGTCTGCCAGCTTAAATGCAAAGAGAGCATGAGTGATGATGAGGGTGAAGAATTCCAGTTCTCAGATCTGATGGATTGATTTGGAGCTAAGAAGGTTTGTGATGAGTGAGTCTTTCCAGCAGCAGTAATAGATTGTATGACCTTTTATGATTCAGCTCTAGATTTGATTTTAATAGAACCCAAGGTAAGTAATGAGAACAAAGGCTGCTTGGTAACACAGTGATTCCTTAAAAATTAATTTTCTTGGTGTCAGAAATTATAAAATGCCTTTCAACCAAAATTCCCAAGAGCAAAGCTATCATGCTGCATGCATACAAAACTCATGTTTGTGCCGTATAAAAGCTACACTATTAATCCAGTGATGTACCATGGGGTTTGAATGCAGATAATTACTGAAATCCACAGATGCCACTGATTTTCAGTCAAACAATGCATGATGACTGCTTTATTTTGGTGAAAGCTGTGTTTGAAGTGCACCACTTTGCCATAAGAAAGTATGGTTTTTCACCTTTTTCTGCTTTTTCTCCCCCTGATGCATAATTGCTTGCTGTGATCACTATGATAACACTACCTCTTCCAGGACCAGGTTGACTCATCTTGAAACACAGAACACTAAAAATAGCTCTAAGAGCTTCTTGTGTGTTGGCCTTACGTTCACTAGTCAATCACAATGAATATCTAGAGCAAAAAAAGCATGGCACAAAAGTGGGAGAGAATCTGGACGGATAGTAAGAATGTTTAAAAAAATACATCAGTGATCCTTACCATGAGATAAAGTGCTCATCAGTGCTTCTTTTCATCCAACTGCCTGAAAACAGGAAAAGAATTGATTGGCAGTCACCCTGAAAGGCTTTCATTATGACAAGACTTATGATGCATGTTTTTGAATAAATGTTATTTCCACCATTTCGCACCCACGTCATTCTTTTAAAGTCTGTTACTGCAAAGTAGCCCTTGTTTTTAATAAGCTTTGTGTTCTGACTAGTGATGCCCTAAAGCCTCCATCCCCCTAGGATGATGTGAACATTCATTGCAGCCTGAGAAATGTTCTCTCTTAGTGAATCCTTTATGATCTCTTTTTTTCAGTGAGAATGATGTGAAACAACTTTGATTGCAGCTGAGAAAAGGTGAATCTCATTTACTTTTCAGTTTTGAAGAGTTCCTGGTCAGAATTTTTTCCCAGCTCCAAGAAGCAGATAATGAAAAGAACAACTTGAAATGTGCTCTAAAAAAGTTAGAACTTCTCTTTGTTGGACTCTTTGTGTAGTTTTGAAACTATCTTACCTGCTATTTGAACCTTTGAAATAAACAAGGTATTATTTGGGGACTACAGAGAACATAGAACTATAGAGAGCTATTTAAGGAGAAAAAACTGAGGACTGTAATCACAATAATTCTCATAATGTGAAATTTTAGCAGTCATGAAGACTACCAGTAAAATTATTCACAAGGCAGAACTGGCTGAAATTACCTTTTCTCTTCCAGTTAACAGATTTTGTTGACTGAAATAATTTTGCAGATGTCTATTATTGCATTGCGTTGCAGGTTTTAGACAGTATTAGCAATACACTTCCAGTTAATAAGTTTGGTTTCAGAGGACAGTCAGATTTATCAGCAAATGTGGTAAATTGTCTGCGTGCTTTGCAAACATTGTGTGCAGAAAAGCTATAAATCTGGATTTGCTTGCCAGAGAAATGAGAGGTTTTAACATTAAGATGTTAAAGCAGTAACAAAGCACTGATACCAATGAAAATATAGGTAAATAAATATATAAAACAAACATGAAATACAGTAAACAACAATATATTTTTATATATAAAAACATCTGTAATTCATCTATATATATAAACAAATATATAAAACATATGTAAAAACAAATATATAAGAACTAAAAAGTAATAGATCATCCTTAAATGTGTAGCTATCTAGAAGAGAAAAAATGTGATACTAAGTCTAAATAGAATACAAAATGATGCTTAAAGCTCCCCTGTATTATTATTATAAAGCATCATTTCTGTATTTCATATTCTTACATACTGAGTAATAAAGGAAATTCATTGTAGAACATTTACTTCATTTGTTCAGCACTCTGCTGGCTATTTTGAGAATGTGACAAGATTTCAGAAGAAATAAAACACCTAAAAATATATGGTCATTAAAGACAATTGGTTTTTATATTGACAGTTTTTTCATCTAAGTCAACAAGTGTGATTTTAGCCTTCAGACAGCTAGTTGATTGGAAGAGTATGAGGTAGCTGAGCTGTCTGTTTTAGACTAGAGATTATTTATAACCATTGGTGGTGAAGGGTTTATTTTGTGGTTTAGGTTTGTTGGGCTTTTTTTGGTCAGACTCTTGTCAGTGTGTTTTAACTGAATGAATTAATGTGTCTGTTTAATAACTGTGATTGGCACAGAGGTGCACTGAGTATACTATCAGCACTACCTGACTTTTCTGTCTGACTGGAAATTGTGATCTTAAAATGCATTGGAGTTTTATGCCTTTGTAGTATAAAAAGGTTTTAGCTAATTCCTTCTTTCTGTTGCTCCTAATAACACCTCTAATCTCGGCACACAGGTCATTGTTTTATTTGTAATTCACAGCTGGAAGGAGTCAGAACTGTCAGAGACATACTGGTTTTGGTACCAATGGGGATGAATAGCCTCATCTATTTTCAAGTATGTCCAAACAGCAGCAAAGTTCAAGACAAGGGAAAAAAACTATTTTTCATACTCCCATGCTTTTTCTACCTACTGAGATGCATGTGTCCGCATAGACTGGCCAGGATTTACTGTGGTGTCACTGAAGATGCTGGTTATTGAGGTCTTATCATGTCTCCTGGGTTCTTGCTTGGTTACAGTAATACCTTCTGGAAGCTGAGAATGGATGCGATCTTTCATCTTTCCTTCCTGACTCACTTCTGTGGGTCTATATTGTCTATATTCAGGCAATAACGCAGTCTACTCTCAGACTTTTGTCTCCTTTCCTGGATGTAGGCTATGATTTTCTCTTAAGCCATTCTGTTACCATAAAAGTCAGTCAGAGAAACTCTCTAAGACTCAATTTGGAGTTTTAGAAAGCAGCATTCTTTATTTCAGCGCTGGGCACACACACTTTGTTTCACAAAGGAGAGCACACCCCATACTTGCCGACAGCTGGTGTATATTTAGCATACTCATGCATATTTACAGCCATTCCAGGAACTAATTATAACATTTGCATCCTAATAACACATGCGCTTTCTTGCTAAGTGGGGGTCTCTGGTGGTCACTGACAGCCTTCCTCACTGTGTTTACTGAATGACCCCAGTGCTTGCGCATGCTCGCAAGGTCCTAGTGCTGAGTTAGCAGTTGGTATGTCCTTGCTTCTGTTCTGTTCCAGTCTTGCTACATGCCAGGCATCTGTTATCCTGAAGGCTGACATGCTTGAACTTATTTACTGTCTCCTTAGTTGTTATCAGTTCTATGATGTTCCTTCTCCTGTCACCTTAACATTGCTTTCTCTCTACGTATTAGTAAGTTAGAACAGTTTGGTTTTTCTGCTATGTTAAAGGCACACACACTATTTAGTTTAAGGTTACAATTCCTTTTTTTTGTGGATGCCCTGAGAAGCTTCATGTGCATGTGCACAACTTTATGCCTTGCCTGTCTGCTGTTAACCTCTGCCATTCTTCTATACCTGTTTTTGGTCTTTTCTTCTGGAGCTTTCACACATACATATTTTCATTCATGAACTTGAATCCTGTGGTCTAAGTGACCAGGGTTTTTTTCCTGTCTGGTTCAACAGAAATGCTGTATTTGTAGGTCCAGCCAGTAGTAAGGCTGAATATATATCCTCAATATATAGATACACCACATATGGGGAACTGTGCAGATTTAATACTCATTAGAAAGGAGTACCTCTACTGGCACCCACCTAAACACAAGTAGCATTTGCACAAACATGGAGGCTGACAGCCTGATTGTGTTTCTCCCATCCAGTTTATAAGTAGTGAATATTATTAGTGAAAACATATGCACATGCAGCCCTCCTCCACACTTACATTATTCAGAAATAAATCTGCATTGACAGACCTTTTGAATATTAGTGTGGCCTTTAGCTTATTTGTCCCTGCCTGTCATTCGGGTGCCTTACTCATTCTTTGATTCAGACCTTGGGTCTTTCCAGGTGTGGGTCTCCTTCTGCTCACTGGCTGTTTCAGCTGGATTAAAGTTTATTACCAGAATGTGTTTATTTGGTAACTCATTAACCATGGGCATGTTTGTCCTTTTAAGTGGTCTGTAATTCTGGTTTAGTAGAACAACAGACCAAATAGTGCTGATGAGATTTTGCATAGAACTTAATACACCTACTTTAAGGAGACCAAAACAGATACATTCTTATCTCATAATTGGTGTTTTTCTCACTCATGTTTATCATCATAAAGGAATTGAGGATGAGCTGTTGTGTGTATTTGTAGATTTTAAGGCAAAATTAAAATACAGGGTTTAAACCTTCTTTTAGAAACACTAATTTCCTTCTTTTTTTCTCTTCATTTAAACAAAAGTGAGAGACTTGCACTACAGTAACGTATCAAACAAAACACTGTATGTATGTGTAGTCTGGTGCTGGAATCAGGAATAGGTAAAGCTGTGCGCTGAAACTGTGGAATACATTCATCTATCCATCCAGCTCCATACATTAATCCACCTTGCTTTTGGCATCTACACTGGATAAAATTTTTGTTTGCCATTGGTTCTGTCCACTTTTGTGCTTTGCGTTTGAAAGACAAATGTAGTAAGAAGGTGGACTCTTTCAAACAACAGAGTTCTAAATAGAGAAGATAGACAAACATAAGGGTAAACAGTATAGGAAGGATGAACTGGCTTCTCATTGGATTTAGCATGAGACAGTGTCAGAGTCCACCTTTGGTGGAAGAGTAGAATCAGCATCTCAGAAGATTAGTGTACAAAGTGTGTAAATCACTGTATTCTTTCAAAGGGAAAGAAGAACCGTTACAACAAACTGCATGAACAGCAGTTGTAAAACCCAAACTGTTCGCGTCACAGTTACATGTATGGGCAGAAATCAAACCCTTGTGAGAGTGTTGATTCTGAACTAATCATGTAAACTTAGTGTGCTCATGTTACATTTCGTTTTGGTTAATGTGCTTGACAACAGCACCATCTCCCTTTTGTCTCCATCTCTGTTTATTCCACAGCCTTACTGGAAAGGGAAAGATCATATTATAGAATATTGACAAAATCATACAATTATGTAAGTAAAACTGGATGGTATGATCCTGGGGAATAGAGATTTTAATCAAAACGTTTGCATTTTTTCACATAACAATTATATGCCCTTATAGCTTTAATTATTTTTCTTGAATGCATGTGGGGAATATTTGCCAGCTAATGTACCAGATTATTTTTTCTAATGCTTGTTAGCTATGTTACTTTTAATTGTGTTACACTTTTGGTTATAACAGGATATTATTTTATATTTCTGTCTAATTTGAACAGAATTAAGAATGTAAACCATGAATGAAATGCTAGGGGAGCATCCAGCCTGCAGAAATGACAAGTGCTTATGTGCCAGACTAGCTGACAATAGAACAAGAAGAGATAAATCAAGTGATGGTAATTTCTGAAACCATCACAGATATTTGCAAAGCAAACATAGGTCAGATTGTTTTGTCATTGCTATGGAGCTTCCAGAACACCTGATAATGAATTCTCTTTTCTTACAAAATCCCTTTTAAATATCATCTACTGCTTTCACAGCCTGCTCTTTGGATTTTTCTGTCTTGTTTTTAATCCTAACAGAACAAAAGTTTTCCTTTTATATGATAAAATGAAAAAAAAAAAAGCCTCAGGTATTTTCCCCAGGTAGTAGGGTAATCTTATGAAAATGTAGCAGAATTCCACTGTCTTCAATGTACTAGGAACTGGCTTAATCCCCAGACAGCTGAAGAGATAAACAATGATTTGGGTCGTGTAGCGTACACCTTTGCTCAAAGCTCTACCAAATCCTCATTTACTTTTGGACGATACAGCACCATGCATTTGAAATACTCCCTGCTGGACAATCTGCTCCTGTTAAATATGTCTGTGATAACAGTTTTATAGCACTGCATGGTTCTCTTGCATGGTAGCTGCTTGTCAAGTTCCCGTATTAAAAGCCTGATGCGTTTTACTTGTTAAAATGCATGGCCTGTGTGGGGAAGCAGAGTATTTCTGCATGTGTGAACTTGCTATAAAGTGTCTTGAAGGTCAGTGTATGAACGACTAATGGTAGGGAAAGGGGGTGGCACTGTAATTTAAAGGGCTGAAATGGAATGCTGTGAAACCAACTTCCTTTGTGGAATATTGTCATGGTTTAAGACCAGGCAGTAACTCAGGACAAATATGAATAAAAATACATGTAATATGTTTGGTTTTTTTTCCTGGCAGCAGTGGTTGGGAGTGCCAGTCATGGAAAGTAGGAGAGAAGTAAGACAGGAAGGGAAGGAAGAGAAAAAAGAAGTTTGTGAACCATTTCCTAGCTCTGTGTAGTTTTTAGATCCTCCTCTGAGGAATGAATCCAGGTGCTGCTGAAGCTGACGGGAATTCTAGGATTGTACTTGAGTAAGATGGTAGAAAAGTCTCTAGCTTACAAGCTTATGCAGTTTTAGCTGATGAGAATATAGAACTGAACTAAAAGTCCATTATATAATTGAAATCAACTGCCAGATGTTAATTACCTTTCTTCAGTACTGCTATGAATCAGAACAGAAGTGGGTTTATGCAGGGTATTTTCCACATTGCGGCACTATAGTAAAATAATTTATACTTTCAAGATACCTGTAAGGGCACACAAATCAGGTACTTTTAGTCTTAACTGCAAAAATTATTATTTTAATTACTACATTTTAATATTTTCCTTTTTTTTTATTTAAAGCTATGTTTAAAACTTATTTATCAATCAGTAGTTCTGTAAAACCCTTTTCCTGTGGTTCTCTAACATATATAGTCTAAATCTGGTATAACACCCACAGAAGTTATTCAAAGCCTTACACTCAGTTTTAAGCCTCGTGTAATCAAGTTAACACACACAGCAGTATCAGGAAGTTTTATCTTACATTTATTGTTTACTCTTGCCTATCTTTGGATAATAAAATGTCTGTCTTATGTTTATTAGTGTTATTTTAAATCTAATTTTATGTTTTCCTTTTCTGTTCTTTGCATTATAATTAATAATATTACCGTGTTTCCTTTTTTATTTTTTATTTTTTATTTCTTTTATTCATAATTTCCTCTCTCCCTTACAAATTTTCCATGAATCCCAACAAGGCTGGTTTTGAAGAGTAACATCTTTGTAGTACCATAAAAATTAAACTATCCCATTTTATTTTTATGGACAGGAAGCTGTGTTGGACAAATGGAATTCACTGCTTCTAATGATGTGATGAGTGAGATAATTTTATTCAGATAATTGATAGCATTTGAAACCTTTGTCATTCAAACAGCTGATTAGCAGCAAGCATCAATCTTATACACAATATATGATTTTTGTTTCCAGGTATAGCAGCCTAACCTGTTTATTGGAATTCTTAACTCAGTGTAGTTAGGGACAGTGGTTTGTACATATATTTTCCTAATTCCTAATGATAATCTCTAAGAGTGACTCTCATCTTTCCTCAGATCTGTTTTTACAATAATATAACCACACTCATTTTCTGGTATTAGTCATCATTCACCTAGATATTAATGTGTGTTAGGTTAGCTTCCACCTGACTAATGTTTGCCTTATCCAGAGCACTGACACTTTCACCTCCTCCTCTTGCATGGAAATATACTTTGATAGTTAAATCTATTCTTGCAGATGGTAATGGTAGCTTAGTCTAATTACAACTTATGTGCTTGATTATATAAGAGAACCTCTTAGAAATAACAGAAACACTTTTTTCCAAACTTTATAATACATTCTTTCCCTTCCCTTCTCTTCCCTTTTCAATGTAATTATTCCTGTTTTGGAAATTATGATAAAAAATGTGAAAGGGGACTTCCAGGAAAGATGAGTTCAGCGGTGTTTCTGCTGTCCTAGCTAGCAGTCTCACTTAGGTGGGTCTTCTGCTTGGCGTATCCACAGTACTGATCTGAATCCGTACTAACTGGGCTTCTGAAGACCAAGATTCCTCAGGCTAGGAATTCCTTTGGCTAGGCCTTTTTGCTGGCTACCATGACCTTGAATCAGTTTGCTCTAAATGGCTTAGATAAAGCACAAGTTCTTTTCAGTAGTGTTCCTTAAGGGAGGTGTAATGGCATGTCCCAGAAGGAAGCACTGGGGACAGAGGATGTCTAGCATAACATCTAGGGCACAGAATCTTGTATAAGGGAAAGAAAATAGGTATGGACCAGTTAAATGCAGGAGAGTTACTGGGCTTCTCACATAAATGGTGGGTTCTTGTGTTGATGATGATGGGTTCTGTGTTGGTGACAGCCACTGAAGTGCATGATCTTGGGATTCTAAGCAAGAGATCCATGAGAACATGGATCAGAAGCACTCAAAAAATGCAAAGCAAGTGATAGGATTGTTAGGAAAGGCATAAAGAACAAAATAATCTCCAGCCTTATAACACTATATTAATGTTTCATCCTTCATGCACACCTGAAATAAATATGAAAAGAAAAAAGACAAAATATGAAAGGGATTCTGAGCTAAGAGCAAGGGAATGCATGGGGAGTGCTTTATGTATGTCTTTGAGGGGCAGCAAAGCTGTCCTCAGGAACAGTTTCCTTGTATTGTATAATCCCAGTTCTTCACTCAGTTTTAAACCTGGGAGTTTTTGTTCCATTTTTGGGAATTGTTTCTCTCACAAGTGTAAGCACAAGAATTTGTAGCAAGTATTTGTAACATCAGTACCTATGATTTCAGGAGCTGATGATGGACACCATTGCAGTTACATTTCCAGGCAGTCTCTAAGTTTTCACATAGCCATAGTATTCTGTAAGTTACATTTCTGCCCATATTCGTTGCTCTGAAGCTTTTTGAAAGTTTTTCATTGTGTGATCACTTTTTCCTTCTCCCAAAACCACTCATCTGGATAAGAATGTCTTGTCCTGTCATATTTGAATATCTGGTATTTTACTTGGAATACATCACTTCATTCTGTCAGGGAATGGAAGTGATACCCAGGAACTGAGGTGATTAGCAGTGTAAACCAACATTGTTCAGCAGTAATTTGGTGCCCAGCTAGTCAGTTGTGAACCTGCTAAGGCTACAGTTCAGCAAATATGTTAAGATGCTGTTGAGATAAGTACTCCCACTCTACTCATTCCTGACCTTTCACAATCCCAGCTAGAAAGTATTTTCTGCTTTTGTTTTTAACCTGGGCCTTAAGGTTGCATTTAAAAACAAGACTAGAACAACAGCAGTGTTATGTAATGTGATCAGACTAGCAGAGCTGGGTAAGGACAGATTTTGGGTTGGGTGAGCTCTACTTGTTGGGATGGGCAAAACGAAAGTGCTAATAGAATCCTCCATTCTGTCTCAGATCTGGGAAGACTGAACAGGAATCTTTATAATGCTCCTCGTACATTTTACTTCCCCTAAAAGGCATACTGAAAGAAACCAAACCAAATGAAAAAACTTCCATATCTTCGGGTCAGAAATGCCTTCCCTAGTACGAAATGGACTAATTTTAGCCTACATAACTTTTGCTTATTTGGCCAAGGAGAATCAGGTATCACTTCTTTACATACCAGAAACCATGTCATCTGCTGTTACCTGTTTCACAAGGAAGGTGCATCTGTCCTTTTTACGTACTTTGAAAGGTGAATAAAAAGCTCTAAGTCACAGTTCTTGGCAGATTTAGTGGAGGTAGCAGAAAGGTTACTGCTTGTTGATATTACTGGGAATGGGAAGGTTTATCAGCTACCAGATTTAGATCAAACAGTTTTTAGGCAGAACTCTGAATTGCTCTGTGTAGGCCTTGTCATTGTGGGAAACTGTCTAAAATAGCAGTTGTGAATATCAACTAAATAAATACTGCTAATCTGTTCTTTAACCTTTTTATTTTTTTGTGGTTTGTCCTGTTGCATTTTTTAGCTAAATGAAATTCAATTATAGAGTGCAATGGTTTTGGGCTTGTGTAACATGATTATGTCTGTACATAATGCAGTGGAATAGCACCATATGTATTTTATTCAGAATTTGGCCTTGATAGAAATAGTTTCCCCATTCAACTGAGTTGAATTGAAAGCCTCAAAATCAAGAAGCATCAGTTAGTTATAATACTTTCTTCTCTTTTCCATCCAGTTAGAGCAGCAATGTACAGAATTTCTCAGTAGCAAAGAAGAAATCAAAGTAGAGAGCACCAAGCTGAAGCAGACTAACCAGGAGCTGCAGAGAGACCTGGAGAGAAAGTCTCACAAACTAAGCCAGGCTCAAAAACAGTGACAGATGCTTCAGGAGGAGGCATCAAGACTATGTGAGGAGAAGGAAATGTAAGTTTCCAGCTGCAGAGGTTCAGCTCCCTTTGCTTAACATGCCAGTGAGCCTCCTTCTCTGGGTATTTAGTGCTGCAATTTAAGTTTGTGTCATAAGCAGAAACTCACATCAAAGCCAAGTGCAGTTCAAGTAATTTTTCCCCAAGTAATTCAGCATATTTTCTGTAGCACATCTGGCTTCTTACAGAATCTTTTGCTACTTCTTCAAAATGTCATTGTTCTCTACCCTCCACACCATTTGCTGAAGGTGCTTGGAATTAAAAATCATTTTAATTGCTTAAAAGGTATGTTTTAGTTTTGAAATTCTAGTGGAATTCTCACAGAAATTACAGTTGTGGTGCATGATGCTCCATCCTACTCAAAGCTAAGACTATCTGGAACTTGCTCTTCAGGATGTACTCTGGGTATGAGGCAGCTAGGATGTGCTTCTTTTCTTCATCAAATTCGTAATTCCTGACAAAGGAGGCTGGTCAGCAAGGTAAAACATACCTTATACAGCTACACACAATTCACTTACGGTGATCCAGAATCATCATTTTGGGATTTCCATTTCAAATGGTTTGGATTTCAGATTCCAACTCGAAAAATATTCTTCAAGAAGAAATTCTTACAATTCATATTTTGAGGGATAGAAATGGCCTTTAAGTGGCAGATCAACTTACCTGTCATGCTCCAGCCTCCTGCACGAAGCAAAAGGTACATTACCCTGAAGCTGTAATTGGCAGAAATGTCTACTGAAGGTTATTTAATGGAAGATAGTTCAAAACAAAATGCTCAGGGATCTGTAAAACCCTCTTTTTGCCAACGGGGCATGCATGGATGCCAGGCTGGGGGGCAGATCTTGCCAGATTATACATCTCAGTAATGAACTGCATAACTCAGAGCTATGGCTATTTGGCATATTTCAGAATAAAGAAGAATATTAGGTCAAATGTCACATGCTTTTTCTGTTAAGCTTTGTGCCAAACTCTACTTAGTGATTTACTAATTTGATTTTTCTTAAGGGCACAAGTAATGAACTTTGTTGATAAATGACTGTAAGAGAACCACAACTCTGTTTAGAACAGTTTTTAGGTGTGCGTGTTCGATGCATGATTTGGAAGTAGACAGTAGAATTATTCCTCCTCAGGGTGTTTTGTGTCCCCTTTGAGGCCTCTGTTTTCAGATCCAGAATGAAGCATGTGTAATGGTGGTCTCTTTTTAAAGCCACAGAAAAAACCTGCCCAGTAGTCAGGCTGCTGAATAACAATACCGCATTTACAAAGCACTTTGGATTCAGTAGTGGTTTATGGAATTAGCGCTCAGCCCTACTCTGCAGTGTTGCTTTAGAAAATCTGTATCTATAAAATCTATATATTGAAGCAGGTGTAGTTTTCAGACTGCACAGGAAGAACCTGAGGTTTCACTGAAAGGAAAAAAAAAAAACATTTTAAGGCCAGACACCAAGTTGTGTTAAGTCGAAGTAAATGGCGTTAAGTCCAGCGTAAAAAGTGAGATGCTGTGTTCAGTGTTTTAGGCCGCATAACTGTGAGACCTCACTTGAAGTATTGTGTGCAGTTCTGGTGTCCTCAACATAAAAAGGACATGGAACTGTTGGAACAAGTCCAGAGGCCACGAGGATGATCAGGGGACTGGAGCACCTCCTGTATGAAGACAGGCTGAGAAAGTTGGGGCTGTTTAGCCTGAAGAAGAGAAGCTGTGTGGAGACCACACTGCAGCCTTCTAGTGTCTGAAGGGGGCTTTAGGGATGCTGGGGAGGGACTCTTCATTAGGAACTGTAGTGACAGGACAAGGGGTAATGGGTTAAAACTTAAACAGGGGAAACTTAGATTGGATATAAGGAAGAAGTTCTTTCCTGTTAGGGTGGTGAGGCACTGGAATCGGCTGCCCAAGGAAGTTGTGACTGCTCCATCCCTGGTGGTGTTCAAGTCCAGGTTGGACAGAGCCTTGGGTGACATGGTTTAGTGTGAGGTGTCCCTGCCCATGGAACTAGATGATCTTAAGGTCCTTTCCAACCCTAACTATTCTATGATTCTATGATTGTAAACATGTGAGCCTGACATCTGGTTCCAGCTGCAAGATCAATTCTAATTGTGGATAAAAGATTACATGGTGACTGTGAATGATGTCTTCTCTGAATGATGCAGGTGCCAGTATCAGCATATATTGAACTCTCTGGATGAAGAAATTGTAAAGTTTGTTTTGTTTTGTTTTTTTTTTAATATCATTTAATTAAAGAACCTCTACTCCTTGCTTTGCTAACTTTTTTTTTTTTTTTAATTAGTAACTATTTGTGCAGGATGAGGTCCACAGATTTGGAGAAGCCGAAGTCTCAAATGTGGATACTCCTATGGGGAAACATTTCAGCAGTGTTATTACCATGGTTAGAACAAATTGTATATTCATTCTCATTACAGGGAGGTACCCCGAGTGACAGAAACCTTGCAGAGACAAAAGGCAGGACTTCTGAAGCAGATGGATTTTTTAAGGTAATGCAGACCTTATTAATTAAGGTAATTCAAGAACTTCCTGAATCATTCTAAAGGATGAAATTATGCTGGGATATGTACTGGGTGTATATGTCCAGGTATTGGCAGCAGAGCGCTGCAGGGACAGCCTCCGTGCCAGGGAGAAAAGGCAGGAGCTGCCCCAGGCCAGGTCCCCAGGCTGTCCCGGCTGGCGGCAGTGGACCCACTGCAGGGCACAGTTGAGCCCGGCAGCAGCAGTGGTGGTGCATCTGGGAAAGTGTGTTTAAAAAAGGGCAGAAAACATTGTGCAGTAGTTGAGGGAGAATAAAACGTGAAGAACAGTGCTGCAGACACCAAGGTCAATGAAGAATGAAGGGGGGGGAGGTGTGTTAGGAAGAATGTCTTTACCTTGCAAAGCATGAAATGGTGTTGAAGGATAATGCATTAGTCTCAGAATCAAAAGTTATATAGTTTTCAGGTTTTTAATTAAATCATGACAAATTAAGTCATGAAGAAAGAGATGTAAATATACTGCAGATAAATGTTGAAGGTGCATAGAAGGGAAACTCAATCTACATAAGTGGTAACCACAGACAGTGTGTGCATAGGCTTGTGTCTGAAGGACTGTTCAGGAAAAGTGAAGTTAAGCTGAATTTAAGCATTTTAATAGATGACACAAGAAGATCCACGGAAAGGTAATAATTGTCTAAAAAAAGAAAACTTTTTTTTTAAAGTTTGTTGAGGTTTGTTTGTCAAAAAGGGACATTTGTTGAATTTTGATATTTTTTGAGTCTTCTTTGGTAGCTGTTGCACTATCCGAAAAATAATGAGAGCAAATATCTTTAAAACTATTTTTTTAAAGAATTTTTATTAGCAAATTGAAAATGTCTTCCTTTTTTTTTTTTTTTCACAGCTCTAACTTTGATGTGCATGGTAACAATGAATTTGCCATTTGCAGTAATAATCCGTAAAACAACATGCTGGAAGTTGCATTTCTTTGGAGTCTAAACTTCTTGCACTGCTACTGCTTCAAAGCTAGCTATGCTTGTTTTCTAATTTTAGTATCATTGTTAAGTATTACTCACTTTTATATTCTTGAAGCACATATTTAAAAAGATTAAAGTATAAGGAAAATAGGTATGCTTGGGCATAATTATATAGTTCTTTTAGAAGAAGCAAGCATATCTTAAAAATGACGTTAGAATTATGCCATGGTTACATAATAACTTCTAAGTGGTACATTTTAATAAAAAGTGTAGGACACAGAACAGAGCTTCATCTTTTGAAATTATTTTATACAATGCATACTTTTTGCTTGCTGTATGGCTTATTTGGTATCACATTTTCAAAGTGTGTCATTATTGGACTTTCAGACAACAAAAAACAGGTTGGTCATCAGGTCTAGCTAGGACTAAACTCTGCTGTTCATGCTCCTTGAAAGCACATCTCAGCTGGAAGTGGACATTCCTTCAGATCTTATTTCCTACAAATTTTTTTAGTTATTTTCCTGAAAACAGTTGAGAGAAAGCAGGGAGGGGAGAGAAGAAATCACAAAATCCCTCCTGCCTGGCTGCTGAAAACATCTTGGTTTAGTTTCTAAAGAAATGCTGTGAGGGTAAAAAAGAGGTTAATTTCCAAAGGTCACTTAGGAATGGGAATTATATCTTTTTTTTCTATGAAATGTCAGTGCCTTAGCCCTTAGTTTGGGTTGTATTTTTTTTGCCTGTTTTGATTTGGTTTGGGTTTTGTTTATTTTTTTTTAAAGAAAACGCATCAGAATGCTCCTTTCTGATATATCTCTGTCGATGTGGCACAGAAATATGTGCATAAGTCCTACATGGTCCTCCTAGCCTGCTGACTAGGCCTGGCAATTCAATTCAATTAGATTCGACTCGACTCCGATTCAATTCAACTCAGTTCATGACATTACATTCTTAGGGCAGTCTTTAGGCTGTGCATCTAATCACTGCCACTTTGTGTGAATAGTGCTTCATCTCCTTCCATACACCAGGTGTAGTCTGATGACTATGTCAACAACTTTGTTTTTCCTAAATGATGGCTCTTGGGATCCTCACTTTTTGACTATGAGATTTAAACACCAGAAGTGATCTTTGAGACAAAGAGGCACAAAAGCACAAAATGGAATGTAAACCGTGGGAGAAACTTTCTGGAAAATGATGTAATTCATACGTAGCCTCATGAATATGTATGTATGCCCAGTGACTATGTAAGGACTACTCGTGTAGCAATACAGAGACACACATTAGGAGAAGCTACCCCGCCTGTCTCCCAGCACCACAATAAAGAATACCTGCTTGTCAACTTAAACTTTGTTGGTGAGTTTGTTCCTGGAGTTTTCTCTGAATCATCTTGTTCCATGCAGTTTTACATACTGATCCCCTCTCCTGACTGCATGCCTGGGCTAGGAGGGATGATATTCAATTAGTGTTTTTAGGGCAGCTCTGCACGTAATCCTCAGCTGGAGCTGAAGAAAACTTAAGAAAAGATAACTCCCTGCTTGCGTATTGTGAGTTATGAGTTCTCCAGTCTCTGCTTTTCATAGAATCATAGTATATTTTAGGTCAGAAAGGACCTTAAAGATCATCTAGATTCAACCTCCCTGCCATTGGCAGGGACACCTTCCATTAGACCAGTTTGCTAAATACCTCATCCAACCTGTCCTTGAACACTTTCAGGGATGGGGCATCTACAACTCCCCTGGGCAACTTGTTCCAAAGACCTAATTTGCATCTTAATTTCACTCTTGCGATCATGAATGGTCCGATGCTGGGGTTTTCTCCAGTCAGACCCTGACATTTAAACTGGTGTCAGAGACAGGATCCCTTGCAGTGAAAAGTACCATAATGTCATGTGAAGTGTAAGGTGTGCTTCTCAGGGACTTAAGGGGTGGGGTTTGTTGAAACAAAACCTGCTGCTTTTCTAAGACTACTGTTCCATTCAGAAATGAATAGCAGCCAAGCTGCCCCTCAGGACAGAGATATGTTGTATGGTCTTTTAGAGAAACATAAGGGGGTAGAATGGGCCAAGAAAAATCGGTATAATTTGCAAAGTGTAACAGACTGAATAAGTGCCTTGAAAAAGGACACAAAACTGTGGCCCAGAAATCATAAATAGATTATCTGTGCCATGCTGGGCGCCAGCTTGGCTGCTGCAGTAGAAGCTATAGAACAACAACAAACAGCAGAACCTCAGTTCACACAAACTTTACAAGACTGGGATCCCTGCAGGACCCGGTAGTTAACTCAAAAGAACAGTTAGACAAAGAGAAAAAACAGGCTAACTTCTTGCAATTAGCCCTGAAAGAGCAACTCCTTGCAGAGAAATGCACCCCTCCATGGTTGGAGAAAACAGTTGAATACCCCCAAGGTGATCTGGAAGAGGAAAGGTTAGAAAAATTAAATGTCTGCGACTTCTTTCTGCCCCTAGATACAAATGGAATATACTTATGAAGGTGGGGAGGACGAATTCCCACAAATTAACACCAAAGAGGTTCTGTATACTGCTATGGAATTAGCTAAACTTCAAAAGAAATTCTGTTGTACTGCAAAAGAATCAGAAACCAAGTGTGTTTGGAGAGTATCGCTGTCTGGGGGAGATAACATTTTACTAAGTGAAGTGGAACCTGAGGGATATTGGGGGCCAGGATTATTTTTAACCACCCATAAGCACCGCGCACCCTGGTCCTTAACTCAAAGAGCAGCTTATTGGGCTGAAGGACTTAACCTTTTGGAAAGGGGAGATCCCTTCGCCATCACAGGGACAGTCGACCAGTTGATAGAAAGTGTACAGAAAGTGGCATGTCTGCGAATGATGTATGATCAGGGACTTAAACAGGAGTCCCCGAGGATGATACTGAGCATACGACTCCCCTCATTCGGTGTCTTCCTGACTCCCTGGAAGCTGCAGCAATCCAATTGCAGAGAAAGACACAAGCAGCATCACAAAGTGAAAAGGCCGTTGCTGCCCTTGAAGGACTGCTGTCACCTGTTCAAAAGACAGAAAAAAAAGTATGGACGTCGGGGGAAGTTGCCCAGGAGTTGATTAATTATGGGAGAAAGTACGGTCCCATCAATATTTCCAGTAAAATTGATACTAAGGGACAGAGATGAACAGAGGTAAAAACCCCTCTTCACCTAGCTAATGGGAAATGCCGGACACCTCCTACTCGCCCAGGAGGTAGAAATATTCCTAATAAAAGGCAAGAGTTGTGGACACTGGGGTGATGAAAGGGTGTTCCTAAAGATTTAATGGATGGATTACCCAATGCTAAATTGGAAAAAGTTATGTTAGAATGGCCCGAAAAAAACCCCATGGGCCCTAAAGAAAAAGAAAAATGTGGAAGACCCCAGTTCCCCATCACTAACTAGCTCCTCCCCTTGATTGTGAACGAAGGGTTGGAGAGTGGATACATACAACAGCTCACTGGAAATAATTAAGGCAAATTGTTTTGTGGGGCCTGATCTGGTGACACATTTTTCACTTTGTACGAACTCACAATGCTATAGCCGATTGTCCCACAGGTTTTCACAGGATTTCTCCGTTTTGCCAGATGGTTTCTCCCTTGGTTGGGAGTGAGTACATGCATTACAGATTGAGGTATCCAGCCTATCCCAGGTGACACTGCAAAACCGTATGGACCTTGACTTGCTATTAGCTTCCCAGGGAGACGTCTGTACAAGCTGCTGCACATACATGGAACAGAGCAGCAAAATTTTTACATATTTGGGTGAGATTTAGGAGCAAACAGATCTTGCACCAAGTCACTAGAGATGATACCTCATGGGTTTTGTAGAGTTACGGCACACACTTACCTCTTGGCTACCAAATTGGACATGGTTAAAGAGCTTGTTTGTAATAATTATAATAGTAATAATTATTTGTGTTTGTACCCTAGCAGGCATGATTCAATGTTGCTGTTCACAATGGTGTTTCAGAATTAAATATGGGAAAAATAACATGAGATGAGCGTTACAGGATATACATGTATCCTGTGAGCCTCAAAGGGGGGAATTGCAAGATGAAATGCTAAGTTGTAAATACAAAACATTTTGTTAATTGTAAGCTGTAAATTGGGACTGCTCTGTTGAGAGCAAGATAGGGACAGTTCTTCAAGGTAATGAATAAATCAGAACAAACTGACCTAAACCATGGACACAGTTGTTAAGTAACTCACAAAAGTCTTTTGTACATGTGCAAGCACAGAGGTTAATCAGCAGACACAGTGAGGAAGACTATCAATGACCACCAGAAACCCCT